TTGGGCTTTCCATCATTTTTGGATCTGGAGCGGAACACCCGCTTGACCTTCTCGCGGAAGTTCATATTGGAAGAAAAAAAGAATTGGGAACTGGATATTCAAGATTTCAAATTCAAGAAGTTCAGAGATCAATGCGGGCGGTTCCTAAGGAAAATGCCTCAGAGGTGCATACCACTCCCGGATTGGGAACGGACGCGGTGGGTGTGCAAGCACGAATAGCGGGGGTTGTGTGATAGAAACAGTTTAACCATTCTATGAAGATATAGAGACAGGGAAAGGGAAAGTAAAGCAAAGGGAAAAAAAAGGAAAGTGAAAGAGGGGAGAGAGAGGGAAATGCGGGAATTATAGTCGCAGGCTTATCTTTGCCGTTGCATCCACGTTCATGTCCCAGGTGGGATGGATGTCCCGGTTCCCCAGAAGCGTCTCCTGTCCAGATGCGGTATATTGGGGGGCAATGGTCCGTACGGAGTAATAATGGTGGAATCCACTGTCTGTGCGAGAGACATCATTATCTGATAATTGGTTTTTGTACGGGGTATTCTATATTCGAATGTTCTATATAGTTAGGGGAATGTTGTACATACACCGTACATAACTAGTTAGTTAACTACAACATAACTAGTTAGTTACTCCATACTCTAGGTAAGCGATTTAATCCCCGATTAATTGGTCCGAGAAATGGCCGAGTCTGGGCTGCGATTTTGCGAATGTCACGGTTACTGCTACACTTTAGGGCTATCCAGCATACTTACTTCTGACCCCCGGTGTATATCCCCATGGATGTATGTCGTAAATCAAGTATAATGAAACTGGTCATCCCTTGAAGTCAGTGGCGTATATTGTACTGCAGCGAAGGCTTCCAGAACTCGGTGAGAGCCTCACGGTTACATCATGTTACATTTTGCATGTTGTAAGAGGATGTGTCATGGAATCCCACCTGGGGGAATAAACCGGAATCGGAGTGGAGATGAACTTGCGCAGTTGCCCCCACTCGGCACGTTTTTGCCGGGTTTGCCTGGGAGGCAGCGCTGGCTCATAAAGCACATCAATTTCAATTTCACAACGAGGCCGGCTGGCCCAATGGCAAGGCGCTTGACTACGAATCAAGAGATTGCAGGTTCGATCCCTGCGTCGGTCAGTTTTTTTTTTTTTTCAATTTATTATTTTGTATAACATAGTTAGATAACTAGTTAAACAGTCAATTTCTATTGTCATTTATCTCTTTTTTGATGTAGTTATACAGTGTAAATGTAGATATTACATTGGCCTTAATTAGTTTAGGAGAGCTGCTAACTCAACTAGTTATTACCTAGTTGGGTAACTATTGAACGTTTATGCATGTCATACAATCCACCCGTAACTGGCATATTCACATCTAGTGGGGGTACCCTTTCTGACTCTTCCAAGCCATGGAACTTCCATTTACTCATTTCCTATTTTGTGACTCCTATTTTTGTCTTTATTGTGATCTGCTGTTTCAGAGATGATGTAATCGCTATTTGGCCCTTTCACCAAGAATGCCCAATCCCTGAGGGACTCAGGGACTCAGGAATATTGGCATACATACTAAGTTAGGCTTTGCGCCTTTCCCCAGATCATCCTTGAGCCCCTGATTACCTTGATTGCCCTGACTGCTCTAATTCCCCTGGTCGGCCCCTAGTTGTGCAGGCACAACCCTATTTACCCGATGCAGACGTTAGGGCTGGCCCAAGCTCACACGACAAGGGAACTATGAAAGAGATGTCGCATGCGGAGGAATGCAGAGGGAAAGAGGACAAAAAGAGACAGACAGACATAGAAGAGAGTCTTTCAATTTGAATTGAATTGAATGCATTGGGATCTAATAATATTTATGAAATCCGTAGGGAAAAAAGAGATTAAATGTGTGATACTTTGTGTTCCAGAATTGTCCTCACCACGGATCCAACAACCCTAGAGAAGAGAACATACCGCGTCATCCCTTACTTGACTTCTTCCCTCCTACACTTCACTACCATCGTAAGTTAACTTATCTTCCTTCATCTTCCATCTTCTGACCAGCGCAGAATCAATACAATCACCATGGGTAAAAAAGGCGGAAAGAAGAACAAGAAGGGCAGCAAGCCCGTCGCGGCCGTAGAGAGCGCCAAGGACGTGGTGTAAGTTGAAAAATTCAACATGATGCCACATCACCATCTAACCGTTCAGTGGACCCGAGCAAAAGACCGAGCAAACCGAAGGCCAGACTGCGACCGAACAGACTGCGCCCGAGACTGCGACACAGCCCACCGAGACCGTCGCGGAGCCTAGCAAGGCGCCCGAGGCCACCCCCGTGACCGAGGCCGCAACGGAGATCCCAGCTGTCGCGGAGACCAAGGATCTGGAGACCAAGGAGGCTGTGAAGGCCGAGCAGGCTCCCGCGACAGAGGGTACGGTGGAGGAGACCGTGGAGAAAGTGCAGGCCTCCAAGGCCGGGCAGTTGGGCGAGCTGGACGATGGCGCTACCACAGACACTGGTATGACCGCGTGTTAGTAATATGCGAATAATTCCGACTAACCTGAAATCTGCAGTCCTTCCGGAGACGATCACCAGGGAGCCTGCTTCCTTGGACGTCCTGACCGGCGCTCCTGCGACACTGGTCGAGCGCCCCAAGACCTCAGACTCAACCGCCCCCGCTGTCGCTGCGCCCGTGCCTATTGCCGCCCCGGCCGAGACCGACGCTGCTCACACGAAGCGCCCGTACGAGAAGCCCATCTTCACCAACGAGGATAACTTGAAGCCCCACAAGATGCCCAAGACCGACGAGGAGGCGATTCAGGCTAGCGTGGCGGAGGACAAGAAGACCATTGAGACCTTGGCCGGTGTTGGACCTGCTACGGCTGCTGCGTTGACCACCCCTGAGCCTGAGCCTGTTCAGGCTGAGGCACCCAAGGCTGTTGTGGAGCAGAAGGAGACTCCTGTGGTTGCTGAGGCACCCAAGGTCGAGGAGAAGAAGGTGGAGGCACCCAAGGTCGCAGAGGAGAAGAAGGTCGAGGCACCCAAGAAGGAGGAGAAGAAGGTCGAGGCACCTAAGAAGGTTGAGGAGAAGAAGGCTGAGGAGAAGATCCCCGTGTCCACTCACAAGACCACCCCTGCTCAGGCTGGCGCCCCCTCCTCTCCCGTAGCGGTCGCCGCCGCGAACGCTGCCATTCTCGCTTCCAAGGGCGACAAGGCTGCTGCTCCGGCCGCCACTCCAGTTGTTTCCAAGGAGGCCGAGCCCAAGAAGCCCGAAGCTGCCCTGAAGCGCGGCGACGAGGCACAGCCTGAGGAGGCGTTGCCCAAGGCCGAGGAGCCTAAGCCCGAGACCAAGACTGAAGCTGTCAAGGAGGAGGCTGCCAAGGCTCAGCAAGATACTCACAAGACCTCCGAGTCAGGATCGCAGGCCGAGAAGAAGAAGGGCGGGTTCATGTCCTGGTTGAAGCGCAAGTTCAAATAAGTAAAGTAATTGTGGAGTGCGAGAGCCTGTGTATGATCAGTGTTGTACGCTAGGTGGGGGGATGTTGGGGAGGGGGCTTGCAACCTACGTCAGGCTGCCTTGGTTTTGTTTTTCTTGCTTTTGTCAGGCTTTGATGATACACCCGTTGAAATTATATATCAGATCAGAATCATAGTGCTTATTATTTGTGTCTTGCCTTGGAGTAAAATAAAAGTAAATGTAAATGTTCCTGACTCCAGAAGTTGGGCTTGTAGTTACTCCGTACACCGCTAGTCAAATCAATTCCCCAGGTATTTCCCTTCCCCCTGGCGAATCAATATTCCAATTTCCAAGCTCGTCATTAGCAGGAGCCCACTGGTTGCAACCAATGAAAACGACATTGCAACGCAACGTGAACACCAACTCGCAGTGGAGACACTATATCAAATAAATCTACGACTAGTGGGCCAGCGGAGTCGATCCAATAATAGTTTCTCCGCTTCTATTCTTGCTTGTGGGTATACACTAGTTGTATAGAAATAATTAGTATTGTTATATGCTTGACCATTTCGAGATCGACTTACCAGGTCGCGTTCACTATAGGTATTGGTGTCATGTGCAGTTGGTAGTTCGTTCTTCTGATACAATTATCAACATTGGAAACTCCAGCGATCTGTTGTAGACGTAACATACCTTTACCCAAGACAATATAGTTACCGGGATTCATTGGCATCAGTTGCTGTGTCGGCATCGAGGCACTTGAAGATTAACTCCTTGAAAAGAAAAAAAAGAATATGAACGAGCAGTAGCGATACAGCATCTCAGCAGATATATATCGAGCTTGTTGGTCATTTGGATTGTCATGGCTATAGCGATGCTGTACATTGTATTAGTTGCTGGCTCTTTCGAAGCTCTTGTGACTTACCGACAAATTATTTCTCCTCTGTGAGATGTTGCATCGGAAGAAACTTGCTGCGATGACTTCGAATGAAATCTCCGATTCTCCCTTTTTGGGACACCCAGATGTGTTAGGCGAGAGTCAACTCAACCCCTCCATAGTTGTATGACATTTTTGTGTTGAAAGGCGATTCGAGCAAATCTAGACTCCTGTGATCAGGCCACTGTCTGTTTCCAGGGAGATATAGTATATAGTATATAAGTTTTGAGTATAGATGAAGAGAAGGAGGAAAGAAGAAGGAAAGTCTGGGAAGATGAAAGGGAGATGACCTTGAAAGAAAATGTGCAGTCTGAAGTTAGCTGTCTACTGTGAATGATTCCCAATCTACATTACATACTCCGTATCCTTTGCTTTCAAATTAAGGGACAGGGATCAGGCCGTAAAAGGTTGACCGCTATATCAGAACCCCCCAGACTTGGCTGTATGATGTATCACATCTCTCATTTCCTCTTGGAAGTTTCCCCTTCCTCTGATCAAAACATCAAAGATTTCACATTATCATTCCTACCGAGATAGTTTCTCATACTAGGATTCACCTGAGTTCTACTATTGGGTTCACTGCCAGCTCCCTTTCGGTACCCCCGCTAAGCTTCCATACAACTCAGACCATGGAAACCCACATGAGAGATTCCATCAGGCAAGTGGATGAGAATACATTGCTCATTGGAGACCTGATTCTCCACTCTTCGAGCGGTCGTTCCGATACCTCTTCTTCCAATATCTGTTCTTGGTATGACACAACCGACAATCTCAGCCATACCCTCACCAACGCGCCCGTCCCTCTACCGCCAACCATTCCACTACGTGCGGATGATCCTCGGCTTGTCCTCGTATATAATGTCGGAGAATGCTCTGCAGTCTGGTCTATAGGCAATGATGTCTTTTGCAAAATCAAGACGCTCGAAGAAGGCGTAACATCCGAAGCTACTACCTTAGCTTTTGTTAACAGTCAAAAGCCTTACTTTGAGATCCCTCGCGTTATATACGAAGCCAAGGATAATACCCGGTCTTATCTCTTTATGACTAGGGTACCTGGCCGGACACTTGCAGTGGCCTGGCCCACTCTAGACGAAACCTGGAAGCGTCACTATGTGGAGGAAATAGTGAAAGTAATCGAGACCCTTGCAGCCTGGGAAAGACCTGTGTTTAGTGGTGTGGACGGAAAATATATGACCGAAACTTATCTCACCAAGACCGACGTTCCGGACTTTCGCCCTCAAAAACTTACCGAAACTTGTCAAATGCTAGGTATGGATTGCTCGACATTCGTCTTTTACCATGCCGATCTCGGTCCAGTAAACATCATTGTGGAAGATATGCCAAAAGCTGGCACTATTGGGATCATCGATTGGGAGATTGCTGGTTATGTCCCCAAAGGATGGATAAGAACCAAGTTCCGATTATCTAGTGGACTGGATCTTCCTAACCCAGGCGCCGGTGAGAAGTCACATTGGTGGAGATGGGAGGTTCAAAAATTACTGGAGGAACGTGGATTCGTGGACCATGCGGAAGAATGGGTGGCATGGGATTCAACTGAATAACCGAGATGAAGAAAGAAAGAAAGAAAGAAGCAAGTCGTAAAGTGGGAAGCAGCCTGTTGATATAGCTGGCCCTTTGCAAACATTGCAAACCTCGAATATCTCGCTTAGCTGTCTAGCAAACAATCTAATGAAGCAAACAGCAGATAGTCGCCGATCCGTCAAGTCATATAATAGACAATCATGCAGACAGTAACACTATTCAGAGATCAGCTCAACTCCTTCGTACAATCAAGCTATAACTAGCATAAAATACCAGTATCACTACGTCCGTCAACTGCTTCATCCATTAACAAGTTGAACCTTATAGGAATCAGGTAGAATATGTGACGTGCCAGGTCCTTTAAACGAAGAGTGCATTAAATTCAGAATAACTAAGATGGAGAGAGGAAGAAGAAGCAAGTTGCAAAGTGGGAAACAGCCCATTGATATAGCTGCCACTTTGCAAACAATGCAAACCTCGAACCTTCTCGCTTAGCTATCTAGCAAATAATAACAATGCAAATAGTAAACGAGCAAGCAAACGAGCAAGCAAGCAAACATGAAGCATATGATAGCGATCCATGTAGATCGTGACAGAATATACGATTTTTTCTGATCGAAATGCATGTCTTGGCCGTCTTACCGCCCCTATACTGTCCCACATAATGGAAGATTTTTCTTTTTATACCAGGGCCTTAGGAGTCGATATATTCTAGAAAATCAGACTTCCAATGAACGCCCTATCCTTTCTCCTATTTGACGGACATACTCGTTTCGCGGACATGACGTTGAGACCGTTATTTGCCTTAGGATAGATAGGACCTTACCACCTGGACTTCCTTTCTCTCTCTCTCTTAGCTAATGAATGCAACAGATCTTCTTTCCCTCATTAGGCCTTGTCCACCTCTTTCCCTCCAAATATACACGTTATTTCTCTTAAGCCGATATACAATCTCGTCACATTTACCATTGATAAAGTAGGTAAAGTGATAGACAAGCAGACCAAGCCATATAGTTTTTAGCACGGGGTGGTACCTGTGGACGTACTTATTTTCGTGAATGTCTTATTTTCACAGAAATCCTTAAATAAATGAGGCAAAGTGATGGAGAAGTCCACTAAGAACAGTCTGCAGAGAGCGGACGTAGGCAGTTATGCGGTCTATGATTATTAGCGCGGGGTGAAAGGGGGTTGACCGCTATATAACCCCTCTAACTTGGCTGTATCGTGTCTTTTATATCCTACTTCTCAAAAGTTTCCTTTCCTCTGATCGAAATATTAAAGATTTCACATTATCATTCCTATTCCCATACTAGGATTTACCTGTTTACTGTCAGCTCCCTTTCAGTACCTCTACCCCCGCCAAGCTTCCATCCAAATCAGACCATGGAAGTCCACGTGAGAGATTCCATCAAGCAAGTAGATGAGAGCACATTGCTTATTGGAGACCTGATTCTTCATTCTTCGAGCGGTCGTTCCGATACCTCTTCTTGGTATGACTCAACCGATAATCTCAGCTATACTCTCACCAACGCGCCCGTCCCTCCACCTCCAACCGTTCCACTATGTGCTAATCCGAGGATTATCCTTGTATATGACGCCGGTGAACGTTCTGCAGTCTGGTCGATAGGCAATAATGCCTTTTGCAAAGTTAAGACGCTTGAAGAAGGCGTAACATCCGAAGCTACTACGTTGGCTTTTGTCCATGGTCAAAAGCCTTCCTTTAAGATCCCTTGTGTTATACACGAGACCAAGGATAATACTCGATCTTATCTCTTTATAACTAGAGTACCTGGCCGGACACTCGCAGCTGCCTGGCCTACTCTAGACGAAACCTGGAAGTATCACTATGTCAATGAAGTGGTGAAAATTATCGAGACCCTTGCAGGCTGGGAAAGATCTACATTTGGTGGTATAGATGGAAAATATATGCCTGAAAATTATCTTGCCAAGCGTCCCGAAGACTATCTCACCAACCCCTACAATCGGGACTTTCGCCCTCAAGAACTTACCGAAAATTGTCAAATGCTGGGTATGGATTGTTCGACATTCGTCTTTTACCATGCCGATCTCGGTCCAGTGAATATCATTGTGGAAGATGTGCCAAAAGCTGGCACTATTGGGATCATCGATTGGGAGATTGCTGGTTATGTCCCCAAAGGATGGATAAGAACCAAGTTCCGGTTGTCTAGTGGACTAGATCTTCCTGACCCGGGTCCCGGTGAGGAGTCATATTGGTGGAGGTCGGAGGTTCAGAAATCACTGGGGAGACGTGGATTCGTGGACCATGTGAAGGAATGGGTGGCATGGCGTCAGATTTCGCAGGGATGATCTATACATTAGTGGCGTGGAAAGTCTGTAGCGACGGTATGATACGATGCTCAATGTGTGTGAGGCGCCAGTTCGAATAGAAAGAGTGCATTCAACTGAATAACTGAGATGAAGAAAGAAAGAAGCAAGTTGCAAAGTGGGATGTTGATATAGCTGACCTTCTCGCTTAGTTATCTAGCAAACAATCCAATGAAGTAAACAATACAAACAGCAGATAGTCGCTGATCTGTAGTCATTGACAATGATGCAGACGGTAATGTGTGTACAGAATAGGACTAGATTCATGCGGGGTCCCCGCAGATTATGTGCCCGCTTACAATACTTCGGGCCTCGGTAACTTGGGAAGAGCATAAAACTAGTTGATTGATGAAATTCTACATCCTTCACTCGCATAACACCTCCAATTCTTCAAGATGACATCCCTTCCACGTAAACTATGGCAGCATCCAGCTCCAGAGTCGACCCAAATGGGCCACTTCCAGCGCGACCTAGAGCAATCCACCGGACGCAAGTTCGACGTGAGTGAAATTCGCCTGTATAACGATAATATCCACCTAACATCTCCCAGTCCTTCCATGATATGTACCTGTATTCAATCAAGAACCGCTCGGCATTCTGGGAATTCTGCTGGAAATACTTCCAGCTGATCCACGAGGGCTCCTACACAACGGTAGTCGATGAGTCCGCGCGAATGGACAGCGTGCCTGGATGGTTCGCCGGTGTGCGTCTGAATTTCGCTGAGAACCTGCTTTTCTCGCGCGTTACTGGCGGTAAGACAGATAAGGAAGATGACAAGATCGCCGTTAGCGAAGTCCGCGAAGGCGCTGTCCATGAGGTTGTCCACCTTACCTGGGGTGAGCTCCGACGACGGACTGGAGCGCTGGTCCAGGCTATGAAGGCTCATGGGGTCATTAGGGGTGATCGCATTGCTCTCTGCGCGGCGAATAGCATTGACACACTACTTGTACTTCTGGCATCGACGGCTCTGGGAGCTATCTTCTCATCTAGTTCCACGGATATGGGTACTAAGGGTGTCTTGGATAGACTGCAGCAGATAAAGCCGCGCTGGCTGTTTATGGACGACATGGCGGTTTATAATGGCAAGACCATTGACCTGCGATCGAAGATCGGGGAAATTGTCCAAGGCATGGCATCTGATCCTGGATTCGAGGGAGTCGTCTCAATACCTCGGTTCTCTTCGCGGCCTGCCAATATCAGTTCCATCCCTAAGACCAAGACTCTGGCGGAGTTTCTTGCAAAGGCGGGCGGCAACGAGAGACTTGAGTTTGAAAGAGTTGGATTCCGTGATCCTTTCTTGGTGGTTTACTCGTCTGGCACGACAGGACAGCCGAAGTGTATCGTCCATTCCGTGGGCGGCGTGCTTCTAAACTCGACCAAGGAGGGAAGACTGCATAATGATCTCGGGCCTGATTGTGTCGGCTTGCAATACACGACCACTGGATGGATTATGTATGTGGGTTCCGTGAAGACGTTGCTCTTTGGGGCTCGGGTGGTGCTATACGATGGAAGTCCATTTATTCCAGGTATCACTGCGTTGGTTGATCTTGCAGCGCAGGAAAAGTAAGTCGTCTTCTGTTGACATCCACAGATGTACATTTACAGTTTCCGGCTAATCAATTGCAGGGTGACCCACCTTGGAATCTCACCCCGATGGCTGCATGAGTTACAACAGGCTAAGATCAAACCCCGCGAGAACGTCGATCTCAGCTCTTTACGGGTTGTCACAAGCACTGGAATGGTCCTGCGGGATGGATTATTTGAGTGGTTCTACGACGAAGGGTTCCCATCGCATGCTCGCCTGAACAATATTTCTGGCGGCACTGATATCGCAGGATGCTTCGGAACCGGCAACCCTCTTGTTCCCTTGTATGTTGGCGGGTGCGCCGGATGTAGCCTGGGCATTCCCGTGGAAGTCTACGACTCTACGATTGAAGGCGGCGACGGAATCAAAGGTGTACCCGTTGAGGAGGGTGTTCCGGGCGAATTGGTCGCGACCTCTGCTTTTCCCAACATGCCCACACTGTTGTGGGGTGACGATAGCGGTGAGAAGTACCACGATGCGTATTTCGGGCGATTCGATAGTGAGAGCCATCCACCCCTCCATGTGCGTAGGGCTACAGTCACTAAATCTGTACAGATGTGTGGACCCACGGCGATTTCGTCTCCATCCATCCAATCACAAAACAAATCGTGTTTCACGGACGCGCGGATGGAGTGCTCAACCCCTCGGGAGTGCGGTTTGGATCGGCCGAGATCTACCGGGTGCTCGAGGGTCAATTTTCGAAAGAGATAGCGGACTCCATCTGTGTAGGGCAGCGACGACCAACGGATACGGACGAGCGAGTGATGCTCTTTTTGCTCATGAGATCAGGGGTAGCATTCACATCGGACCTGGTTGCACGAGTCAAGAGCGCGATTCGGACAGAGCTCAGCCCCCGCCATGTGCCGATGTTCACCTTTGAGACACCTGAGATTCCGGTACGTACTTTCATAGGGAAGAAAAGATCTACAAAAGCGGGACTGACCCAGAACATCGTCACAGACCACGGTCAATCTAAAAAAGGTGGAGCTCCCTGTGAAGCAGATAGTCTCGGGAAAAATCATTCAGCCCTCGGGTACACTGCTGAATCCGAAGAGCTTGGACTTTTACTATCAATTCGCCAAGGTGGAAACTCTGCGCCAGAGTAAGCTCTGACTGGACCCTTGGCCTGAGGTCTCCATAATAAGAGGGGCAGACCGGCTTCATCGGGATCGTCACTTCTGCCAAGCTTTTATCAAGCTTTCCAGGGTTAGCAACGGGATCGCTTGGAAGTTGTGTATATGAACACGTAGTCGAGAGAAAGTAGGTTGAATAGGTAGATTGAATTAGACTGAATCAGGTAGAAATACTGAAGATCTCAAGTCTGAAAGGAATAATAAAGTCAAAGAAGTAAAAGTAGAGGGAAGAGCTGAGGGCTGATGGAGTGACTGCGTCATCGAAGCTTTTCGATTTACCGCCGACGTTTTGCCAGCGGCACGGAGCACGGAGGGTATTTATACAATTCGATACGATTAATTACGCTCGATCGTATTTTTCTCCACCGATCTGCCGCCAAATCTCTTCCTCACCTGGTAACATCGTAACCTATAAAAGTACTCCCCTCCCCGCACGTCTATTTACCGTTCTCATTACTTCTTCAACCCTCTCCTTCTCCTCAATCTCTGCTTTTTCCTCGGTTCTTTTTGACCTGGTCTCTTTCTCTCTTGTCTTTTACCTTTTACCTGTCATCTTTTATTCGCAATTATGGTTCATCTCGCCAAAGTCAAGAAGGACAATGAGCTCCCCTCGGCTCGTCAATTTGACTCCATTCCCCCCATCGAGACAAATGACGCCGACACCAATGTCTACGGCACTCACTTTGCTGTGGACCACATGCCCCAGCATGAAATGCCAGAGCGGGAGATGCCCCGCCAGATCGCCGCTCGGATGATCAAGGATGAGCTAAGTCTGGACGGTAACCCTAAGCTCAACCTCGCCAGTTTCGTCACCACCTACATGGAAGAGGAGATCGAGGAGATCATGACCGACTCCTTCAGCAAAAACTTCATTGATTACGAGGAGTACCCTCACTCCGCCGAGATCCAGAACCGATGCGTCAATATGATTGCTAGACTCTTCAACATTCCCACCGATGCCGCCAGTGAGAACGCCATGGGTACTTCAACCATTGGATCTTCCGAGGCTATCATGCTGGGCACACTGGCTATGAAGAAGCGCTGGCAGAACAAGCGCAAGGCCGAGGGCAAGGACTTCTCGCGCCCCAACATTATTATGAACAGTGCTGTCCAGGTCTGCTGGGAGAAGGCTGCTCGTTACTTCGATATTGAGGAGAAGTACGTCTACTGTACCGACAGCCGCTTCGTGATCGATCCCCAGCAGGCTGTGGATCTGGTGGATGAGAACACAATCGGTATCTGCGCCATCCTGGGTACCACCTACACCGGTGAATACGAGGATGTCAAGGCCATCAACGATCTGCTGGTGGAGCGTAACATTGACTGCCCGATCCACGTCGACGCAGCTAGTGGTGGCTTCGTCGCTCCATTCACCGACCCTAACCTCGTCTGGGATTTCCGCCTGGAAAAGGTGGTATCCATCAACGTCTCCGGTCACAAGTATGGTCTAGTCTACCCCGGTGTCGGATGGGTTATCTGGCGCGCGGTGGAGTATCTGCCCCAAGAATTGGTGTTCAACATCAACTACCTCGGAGCCGACCAGGCCAGCTTTACCCTGAACTTCTCCAAGGGTGCTTCCCATGTCATTGGACAATACTACCAGTTTATCCGCCTGGGTAAGCACGGTTACCGTGCAATCATGACCAACCTGACTCGCATCAGTGACTTCATGGCATCAGAGTTTGAGAAGTTGGGCATGGTCATCCTGAGCCAGACGCAAGGCAAGGGCCTGCCTCTGGTGGCCTGGCGCCTTCCCACAGACCCCAATCGGGTGTACGATGAATTCGCTCTGGCCCACCAGCTCCGCGAGCGGGGCTGGGTTGTGCCTGCGTACACTATGGCGCCCCACAGCGAGAAAATGAAGATGATGCGCATTGTCATCCGCGAAGACTTCAGTATGAACCGATGCGACAGTTTGATCCAGGACTTCAAACTTGCCATTGATACTTTGGATGCAATGGACAAGAATATGATGGCCAAGTACAGAGTGTAAGTTTATTCTGTCCTCATGTTTCGATTTTCATACTAACAGCTCCACAGGCACATGAAGAACCACCGCAACCAACCTCGCCACCAGTCGCTTATTCACCGTCACTACCTGGAAGAGAAGCACTCGCTCCAGGGCAAGGATGGCAAGACACATGGCGTGTGTTAATTCCGTTGTGTAACTGCCTACTGGCGGTTTTTGAATATATGTGCAAAAGGATTGAATTAGATGGGATGTTGAAGGTGGATATGTCAGTCCTACACGCAGAGTATCTTGT